TTAAAAAAAAGAAAAAAAGAAGTTGCAATTAATCTTGTAAAACAAAATGTCTATGAATAGTTGAATGACAAACCTGTATGATTTGCTAATGTTCACTCAAATAAAGTAAGTTTAAAAACCTTTTTTTAAAGGAAAAAAAAAGATTCGTATAATTGCCTGTGTCCATTACAACTAAAAGAAAAAATATAAAGATGTGGGACAGGGTAGATGAAAGAGAGAAACAGTATAAATGTCATATGAGAGATACATGGGGTAATATACGATGAAGAGATTGAGACTGTTAACACCTTTAGTTTGCTTGGCTCCACAGTCAACCCTCTTGGTACCAACAGTCAAGAAATCAAAAGATGAATTGCACTGGGAAAATCTGCTGTTAGGGACCTCTCCAGAGTACTGAAGAGCAACAATGTCAGTCTAGAGACTAAGGTGTGACTGATCCAGGCATGGTCTTCACAATTACTTGCTATGCATCAGAAAGCTGGATAATGACCAGGGATGATAGAAGGAGAACTGATGCCTTTGAGTTGTGGTGCTGGAGAAGAGTATTTAATATACCATGGAATGCCAGGAAAATAAACAGGTTTGTCCTAGAGAGGGTGAGACCAGTCTGCTCCTTGGAGGCAAGGATTCTGAAGCTTTGTCTGACATACTTTGAGCATGTTGCAAGGAGGGATAGGTCCTTGAAGAGAGATGTCATGCTTGGGAAGGTGGAGAAAAAGACCCAGGAGGAGATGGATTGATTGACTCAGTGACTGGGGTAATGAGCACGGGTGTGTCAGAGACTATGAGGCTGGCTCAGGATAGAGCAGGGTTCAGAGCTGTTGTACATAGGGTCACATAACAACAACATATGGAGATACAGAGAACTCTGGTGGTTTAGTCTTTAGGGAGTCGTGCTTCTAACACAAAGGCTACACTTTTCTGGTGGTTCATATTCACCACTGGTTATGTGGAAGAAAGATGGGCAATCTCCTGTATGATTTTTACACTAAAAATCCACTGAAGGGTCAGCTCTGACTTGATTCCAAGTTAATGTTAGTTAGTTTTTGAGTCTTTGTATGAGGTTGCTGTTCTTTATTGTCACTGAGCTGACTAACTCTCACCAAGCCCACATGACAGAGTAGAATTGAGTCACAGTTTTCTTGACTGTAATCTTTACAGAGGCAGATCACCAGGTTTTCGCCCACAGGGCCACTAGGTGGATTCAACCTATCAATCTAGAAGCTAACCACTTGGACCCCTAATGTATGGAGCGCACTGAGCAAATGAGGTAGTGCTATGGGGACAGAGTTGGGAGGAGAAGAGGGTTCATGGAAGTGGTGGAATCACCTTTACAATGAGTATTACAGGAAAGAGCTAACAGTTATAACAAGTAGCATAAGTTTTGAATAAAGAGTCAATTCTAATAGAGACCTCTATTGTTTTCTGGGGCTGTAAATCTCCATGAGAGTAGGCAGTTTCTTTTCCTCACAGGGTACAGAAGGTGAATTTGAAATACTGACACCTAGGCTACCATCCAAGGACTTGTCATCTTTCTGGAATGCAAATCAAATCATTTCACTTTCAGCCTTAAGTTTTTCAGTGGAATTTATACCATACAACAGCACGGTCTAACAAAAAGATAAAGCAACCCACAAATGTAATTGTCAGTTTTATTGTAGCCATATTTAAAAATTTCAGAAAACCCACTGAAGGAATGATCAGCCATGAATTGGAACTGGTATGATGGTGGTATAAGAGAGAAAGAAAAATAAATCAATAAAAAAAAATTGAGCTATTATATATTTTTGGCAGAAGCCTTTGAAATCAGTACAATAATAAAATAATATAGAAGATTATATTTACAAGACCTCTCAATTCAGACTATTCTATCTTGTTCCAATATAGTTGTAGAGCCCTGTGAGGTTCATATGTCTTTAGTGACAGAGTATACTGAGTTCTTACTGTGGTCCTCAGTAAAGTCGTTGTTGAAGACAATTGGTAAAGAATCCTATAGCCTAATCTGAGGTTCAGGTGTAAAAGAACGTTAATATATGACCTGCCAGTGTTCTACTTTCGGAAGTCAATGACAAGGGAAAAATCATTCATTCTCTTGGAAAGGCAAGAAAATAGTGGGAAGGATTGTCAAGAATAAAAGAAGAAAATGAACAGATGCATTGAAAATAAACCAGAAAAACGGCTTTACATAAAGAAGTGCAAAATATTCTAAACATAGACAATATCCGTGTATTTAACACCTTTACCAAGTTCTTACCAAGGACTTGCTATGTGAAGTACTGGGAATATACAGGCAAATAAAATGATTATTTTCTTCAAAGAACTCCTCTCTAACACACCCACTTGGCAGGCAAAGGCACGACTAGCTAACTCATTCAAAGTCATCTAGCAAGAGTGGCCGGACTGATAAAAAATATTATAATAATCTGACGCTCTTGGCTTCTAGTTCAGTAAAATAGTGCTTTCATGTCATATTTTTCTAGACAGAAATGTGGCAAAATGTCATTCCAGTGTAATTAAAAAGATTCAGACCCAAATGTGGGGTGACACAAGCAAACTGAGACATAAATAATCAGCTGACAACTCAAGTGGAATAAAGACTCTCTTGGCATCTACCACGCTCATTATTTTAGGAAAATAAATTTTTGCAACACAAATCCACTGCATTCTTAGACAGCAGCGGCCTTTGCAACGTGCTGTCATAAGCTTGGCTCTCGGCTGGTTGCGGTCCTATTGCATCAGACAAAAAAAAAAAAAATTGCATGGGCCTTGCCAGCATCCGGTCAAGCAAAGACCATTCCAGCTGACTGCACTATCCTTTTCTTTCGTTTCATGAAATATGCTCAGATCAGTTCTAGGATCTAGCTCTGTGTCTTCGGGGAATTTTCACAAATCACAAATAAATGGCCTCAGTAACAAACTTTTGCTTGCCTCGCTACCTTTCATCCCCCGTTTGTGCTCTACTGTTGAAAGGTTCTCGTAATTCTTAAATGTAAGCCCTTAGATCAGGGTGATGGCCGTCCCCAAAACTCAGGGATCATCACGTTTTACCAACAGCTACTTCAAAGTCCCCAAATGCTTCTAATAGGGGTGGAGTGAACCTATTGTGTTTCAGATGCGATCCTGTCTCAGGCTGGAGCCTTTGACCCAACAAACGAGACTTTGTCCTTGCGACTAAAGAAAGGTGTTTGGGGCAAGGAGGAAGAAAATATAAACATACACAAGAAACCCCAAACCTCCCGCCTTGGATATTTTCCGGCTACTCAGTCTTGACAGCTCGTAAAGCGCATGCGCCATTCTCCTTTCCCAGCCCCAAACGTAGAGACCTGTTCTAAGCATGCGCAAAAAGAACCCATGCCGGCGAAAAGAGAAAGTGGGACGGTCCTGGGTCCCAGGGTGGGTTTTGGGAAAAACCGAAAACCTTACAACCATCTCACCTTGGGAGAAGGTCTGACAACACGTGAAAGCGGTGGCCTCAAGAGAAGTAACGAGATGAGAGAGGAAACTGGCATGAGAATCAGAAGGGTACCCCATGTGTACCGGTACTTACATCGTCGCCACTCGCTATCTGCCTTTACCAGCTGGTCCACTAGTCCGGGGTCCTTGAAGCGCTTCTCCTGTGTCTCCCGGATAAGCTCTGGATTCCCTCCTTTATCCACCCGAAACAAATCCAAGTCCAGCACCATCTTTCCTTCTCCTGGGTCAACCCTTCAGTAAAAGGATCGTACTGCAGTAGTTAGCCTGTCACCGCCGCACTGCGCCGGCGCGTTGACCCGTCTCTTACTGCACAGGCGCGAGGGGAGCAGGCGCGCTCCCTCCGCAGACCCGGTGAGGGTGGTGTTGGAGGCGGAGCCTCGATGGGAGGGTCAAAGGGGGCGGGCGTGAATATCCTCCTGTATCCTTTTAAGACCAATTGCTGCCTTAGTCTTTCCTCCCAACTCTGTGGGACTCTGATCGCCCCTTAAAAGTGTGAATGTCTCAGTTTCCTCATTTTGAAAAGCGTGTTACAAGGTAGGCGAAAACCTACGAATTTAATTTCTGAATTTAAAAGCCGACCATCCTCCAATAGTTTTTATTTTCGTTTTACCAAGTTAAATCCCAAGATTAGGTCCCTCTCCGAACCTGGGCGTTTTTCATCTTCGGAGGATAGTATGGCAACATAGTTAAATCGCAGGTTACTTCCCCTCAAAGTGCTGCTCTCCTGTCTCAGCACTAAAATACATAGGGTCGCTATGAGTCGTGCCCGACTCAAAGGCAATCACCACCACCACCACCACAATCCTATTATAGAGTAAATTCGGTTGCCTCCTTACCAACCCTAAGATCACAAAGATTGGAAAAGTGCAGTGGAAATAGTTAAAGGTAAAATATTTAGCTAATCTGAAGTCAGTACATGATACTGAGGTCATGTTTTAGACTCATATGAGAACCGCTTGTCTTAGGTTCTCAGTGCTTCTGTAACAAAAATACTCAAAATTGATGGTTTGAAAGAACAAAAATAGTTTGGGAGGCTACGTAGAAATCCAAATTAAAGGCAGGTATCAACTGTAGGCTCTTCTGTGGACTCTGGGCAAAGAGTCTTTCAGCTTCTGTAGCCCCAGCGTCTACCGGTCCTTAGTCATCTTTCATCCACGTGTGTGCTTATCTCAGTGCCTATTACAGAGACCTTAGTTGTTCAGAACAGGAGAAAAAAGGAGACAAAAAATCAAATTCACAAAAAAACTAGATTTACTGGTCTGACAGAGAGTGGAAGAACCCTTGAAATTACTGCCCTAGGACATCCTTCTAAACAAACCAATATGAAATAATTTTTTTTTTAAAAAAAAGACGTCTTTCTGAATGAAACTGAAGCCATTCCTGGAGACCACTTTTCAACCAAATAACAGGCCCATAAAACAAACTGCACCTAAAACGAATTGGGTTGTTTTATTATTATTATTATTATTATTTTAATGAAAGATTATAGAGAACTTGGCTTTCCATTCATTCATTGTTGCACCTTTTCCTC